GAGATGGTAAAGAGAAAATCTGTAGAAAATACCTGTAGTCTGTGTCAGCAGAGATGGACTAACCTGATGGGTTCCTAACCTTTAAATTCTGGCTTTCACGTGGACCTGCTCACTTTAACAGAGGTTGTTAAATGGAAATTCCCACCCCATGTGCCCCCTGGACTTACGGAGTCCCAGGCTGTGTCCTCAAAAGTTACTTGGTCCAAGACACTTCAGAGCTGCTGCCAGCTCACACCTCTCATAGCCCTTTCCGGGAGCAGCCAGGGGTAGGAGGCAAAATGCAAGGATTAGCCGAGACTAGATGTTGCCAGGGTAGCACACACAGCCTCTTAACACGGAGAACTGCAAGCTCTCCCACACTTATCTCATCCCTTAACTTTCTCCCACCTCCTTTTGGTTCCTCTGCTCTGTAGTAACCAGAAACGCAGCCTCTTCAGCCCATGGGCATTTCCCAATACTTAAAACATTGCTCCAAAATTGTCAAATTTCTTATACAACGTGGAAAGCCATAGGAGGACAGAGTAACATTATCTCAGAAGAATTTTGTTTAAACTGTCTCAATACCTACCAAAGAGAGACTTGGCTATCAAAACTCTGCTACACAGATTTGTTAGGAAACTATTATCAAGTCCTGGTCTTACTGCACAGTTACTGCTTGTCATAAATCTATTGCCATTAATGGCCTAAGGAGATAAAGCATTCTAATTGGCATAATTTCTATGTTATCCTCTGGCTCTGCAAAGGTGGTTCTTCTAGTCAAGTGCTGAAGTATGGCAACACATAATTTGTGTATCGATATGAGCAACCTCATCATGCTGCTGGCGGTGTGTTCCTGCACGGCATTGGGAGCAATGCTGGGTTTATCAAGCTCAGGGTGCGAGGGGGCCATGGAGCCACTGTCTAGCAAGTGAGATGGAGCATCACGCAGGAGTAACGGAGAGGAAGAAGTACATGCAGCCTCCTTAACACCCATTATGAATCAACCCTCGTCTAAGGTCTCCCCAAATGGTGAAGCATGAAAACGCCTCCACACTAGCCACCAGCACCTATGTATTATTCATGTTTTTATAGTGGAATTAATATGGAGAAGTAGGTCTTACAGCTAATCTGGAGCCCTGAGGTTCATATTGTACACGTTTTTTTTCAGTGGGCATAGACAAGCTGAACTACCACGAGCAGATTTACTTTTTAATGACATTCAAATCTGGTTACTTTTCACTAGACTTTGAAATTCAGTGCTGCTAAATTCATTGTAGAAGGAAAGTGCTGGCAAGAAACAGTGACCCTGCATACAAACTTATTTGATTGGAAGTGTGCCGTTAGGGCAGCTTTGCTTGGGGAATTGCAGGCACTTTGATAGGTGGACTGGAAAATCATCTCTGCCATGTTCGGCAACCTCTTTTAAGAGATCAGCTCTGCAGAATGTCCCACTTCAAACTGCAATTCTGTTAGAGAACAGCAGCTTCTAACACCAACTCTAGACTCCATCTTCCACACTAAGCCCCTTGATGGTGCTGATTGCTTCACGATATCAGCTAGTTCACTTTAACAACTGTAAATTGCACTTTTTTCTCCTTTTTGAGGATTAATGTTGCCTCAGACTCAATCAAGTTGCCTGGGAGACCCGGGTTCTTATCTGACCTCTGCAGAGGGCAATAAGTAACTGGGCAAAGGTACACCTAAATACCACAGCTATGCAGTAAAGGTCTCAAACTTTTCATGATAAATGCAGCTAAAACCTTCTTAGTCTTCAAACTTAGATTTGTTAAACTCAATTATTTTTATCTTCTTATTTATAAGTTGACTCTTAACAGAACTGTGCTGTCACCAACAGGGAAGACACAAAAATCTTAAGACACTCCTGTCTCGCAATCCACAATTAGTATTTCCAAATACCAGGTCAGGAACGTGTGGCTTTCTGTTGGTCAAGCAAAAATATTCCCCGTTACTGCCACATTCCCCTGCCAGTGGTGGTCTGCCTGCTGCAGATGTACCAACCCTGGCTGATCTGCTTGTTTTGCTGCTGAGCAACAAACGGGGTACTTGAAGCCATGGATGGTTGAGGAGGGAAGGGATCTATGGAGGTCATCTGCTCCAACCCCTCTGCGCGAGCAGGGCCACCTAGAGCCGGTTGTCCAGGACTGTGTCCAGGTGGCATTTGAAATCTCCAAGGATGGAAAATCCACGTCTCTGGGCAGCCTGTGCTGGTGCTCGGTCACCCTCACAGTAAAGAAGCGTTTCCTGATGTTCAGAGGGAACCTCCTGTGCTTCAGTTTGTACCACGGCCTCATGTCCTGTCAACCGGCAAACCTGTGTAATCAGAGATTCGCTCCTCACCAGCTATAGCCACGTACAGGAACGAACGTCTTTAAGCCACAACAGCCCGCAGCACAACCCGGGGAAACACCTTGCCCATTAGGAAGGTGAATAAGCACAGCCCCAGCCGGAATCTGATTCCTGTTTGAACCAATGCTGCAAATTCCTGTGAAGTCTACTGAAACAGCAGCGTGTGGCAGGAATTTTTGCAAGGTGTCCATGAAGCATGTTCTCGTTAAGCTTCTTAAGGGTGATGCCCTCCAGTCACCCTGCCCACACTTCCTCAAATTGAAAGGAAACAAATCCCAAACCTCCTTTACACCCTTCCCTCCATGCTAGTCCATTACCACCATCAGCACCTTCTCCATGGCCCTTTTACCTCCACCTCACAAACAACTGCATGCTCTATCCCTGCTGTTGCCCACAGCACTGCAGCGGAAGGGAGTAGCCTTGCAGGTGTTGTCCTCTAATCTGTCCTGGAATTCTGGAAAACAATACTGCTTCGATTATTTTAGGATATTCTTATTCCTCAGGAAACTACAGCGTTTTGGGGGATACAAAGGAAGGTTCTGTCTGTCTTTCAATGAAAGCTCAGAAAGGTGAAACAAAATTATTTGCAAGAGCATTGACTGAAAATTATATTTATGGGCAAATCTCCCCAAAATTATCTCCAACTACAGTCATCTGGGAACGAACCAATTTTCTAGGTCTTCTGTATAGCTGTTCCACTTTACCTTGTTAGCTGGAAAATAACCCCAACACATCCCAAAGGAAGTAAAACTTGAAAGCATTAGTTTTACTTCCGGTTCAGGTTGATTCTATAAACCTGAAACATGTTATTCAGAATATGCTTTTGTCACGGCTAAGTGACCGCATTCACTACCCACTGACACTTCAAGGCACTCCTGCGGCTGGAGCTGAAAAGTATTTCCCAGCCTATCTCAGTCTTCACGATGGATAGAAGATGCCACTTTCTCCTTCATCTCTTTGGGGTGCAGGAAGGAAAGCAGAAGAGGAGAAACTGCCTTCATTTATTGTCATTCATCCAGGCGGTCTAACACTCTTCTACCCCGAGAACACTAACTAGTATCTTGGCCAGCAACACCCTTCTTTCTCAAAAGTTGCATTTAAAGAAGCCTAATGAACAGCTTCTGACTGTCTTTCAGACCCTGAGGCTATGAACCTTTGGGACTTTATCCTTTATTTTGTAGGTGCTGAGAAGAGCACTCCTCTTTTTCTCTGGTATTGAAAATGTTCCTGAGTGCACGAAAGAGAGAAAAGAGGAAAGGCAATTCTACAGTCACACACAGAGAAAAGCTCACAAGAAGTATCATCATTAAAGGAAGACCTGGCCTCAGAGCTAACGGATAAATTCCCAGCTACATGTTCCCTTTTAATCTGGCAGTTCTGACTCCAGATCATAGAGAATTAAAGATGTAATGAACTACACATCAGCACCTGGGTGGCATCAGTCAGACCAGCAGCAAAGGTTCGATGATGTACAGAAAATAAGCAGCTTTGCTTCAGCTTGGGCATATTCTTCGGATGGGTTGGTGCACTCCTAGGTGATGGTAACAAACAGGCAAGACAGTAACCAAACATCACTGCCCATGCTACCGAACAGCGGACAGCATCCCACATTTCCAGTGTGCAGATGCAAGTGCAATCACTGCTTGGATGGCAGAGAACAAGTGTTACCCTGCTGACTCCTATTTTACCATTTCACTGTAGTAAAGCAGCAGGAAATACTGTGACAATTCTACAGCAATTCAGGGGAAGGTTAATTATGACTTGTTTTACGAGTGAAGTGTTGTGGAGTGGTTCTGGCAAAGTGCTTAGGGTGTGCCTCTATAAATCCTGCAACACTGTTTGCTGCAGCTTTATTTTTGGCTGTGGATGTCATCTACGTGGACTTTAGTAAAGCCTTTGACACCGTCTCCCACAGCATTCTCCTAAGAAAGCTGGTGGCTCACGGCCTAGACATGTGCACACCAAGCTGGGTTAAAAAATGGCTGGACGGGCGAGCACAGAGTGGTGGTGAATGGAGTTCAGTCCAGCTGGCGGCCGGTCACAAGCAGCATCCCCCAGGGCTCAATGTTGGGGCCCGTCTTGTTTAACACCTTTACAATGACCTGGGTGAGGGGATCGAGTGCTCCCTCAGTAAATTTGCAGATGACACTAGATTGTGGGGGGAGCATTGATCTGCTCGAGGGTAGGGAGGCTCTGCAGAGGGATCTGGACAGGCTGGATCAATGGGCTGAGGCCAATTGTATGACCTTCAACAAGGCCAAGTGCTGGGTCATTCAGGCACAACCACCCCATGCAGTGCTACAGGCTTGAGGAAGAGCCGCTGGAGAGCTGCCCGGAGGAAAAGGACCTGGGGATGTTGGTTGACAGACGGCTGAACATGAGCCAGCAGTGTGCCCAGGTGGCCAAGAAGGCCAACAGCGTCCCAGCCTGTATCAGCAATAGCGCAGCCAGCAGGAGCAGGGAGGTGATTGTGCCCCTGTACTGGGCACTGGTGAGGCCGCACCTTGAACACTGTGGGCAGTTTTGGGCCCCTCACTGCAAGAAAGACATTGAGGTGCTGGAGCGTGTCCAGAGACAGTTAGCTGCCCCAGGACAGGACTGAACTTCATATCCCAGGCGACATTTTCCAGTCTGTATTGCTACTTCACTTCATCCTGTGGCCTTGCAACGAAGTATGCAAAGCTAAAAGACACCCACCTGGCTCCCAGCCCCTTTTACCTGTAATTTCCCATGCTGGGCATAGCTTGTCACAGAGAAGACTGATATGGGAGAATGAAAAAGAATTAACTTCCATTTTTTTTAAAACCTCATACAAATATTTGATCACCGAGAGAATACTTAATGGTTTTGTTGTCTGAATGTTCACAGGCTTGAATGTTGTTAACGGGATAGAAGCACATTTAGAGAGAAGAAGAGGGGAGGGGAGAGGAACTGGAGAAACGGGCACTGGATGTGTGCTCTATGCCTACTGAAATAAAGGAAATCACCTCACAGGGAGCAGTCTTCAAAGCAGTTGCTTTCAGAGTCACAAGAAGGTTGTGGCATAGGGCCAGCCACGGGAGAAAACCGTTGTAGGAACAAGTGGAATGAAAAAAATCTGCGTAACAAGATGACAGGGGAAGGACTGGAAATGGATGGGATTGTTTGAACTAGACTGAGTTACTCAGGTTCCTGCCTATAGCAAAGCGCTGGAAGTGCCCTGAAGAACACCCCTGCTGACCCTGCTTGTAGGAGCCTATCTTTGGGGGCTGCTGTGTGTGATCTGCCACCATGACATTACTGTTGAGCCCAGCCTCTGCTCAAGCGTGCAGTTCAGGTGAAGCTTTACCATATGCCGCAGTTGTGAAAGAAATGAGCTGTGTACAGGCAGACGGCTGCTCCTCACAGAGCTGAGTCCTTCACCTGCCAGCCGCTTGTACAGTTCACAGCTCCCTCAGATGGCTCACGGATACTGGCGTATTCGATAAATAAAAAAACTCCCAACTCCAGATTATCAGCAAAATTCCCAGGTGTTCCAGCATCCTTACCCAGGTTAGGTCAATCCAAGATTTAATTCCAGAATTGTGGTTTTAAATTTGCCAATTTTTTTCAAGTTAAAAAAAAGTGGGAGCATTTTTAGTCTTCGTAAAGGTATTATATATACAATCTCACGGGAGCTGACCTTGCAGAAGTGTCATGTAAGACTTTCCTCAAACTTCTTTCAGTCCTGGAAAGGACAAACCTGAGCGGGGGAAGAGGCCGCCGGCTCCAGGGATCAGGCGCAGCTGGAGGTAGCACAAACCTGGCTCCAGCAATGACCGCTATACCACCACCTCTCTTGCTAGACCCAACGGTTTTAACAGACTATTAATTTAATTTGCTGTAACACTTTTTTGGGTTTGTCAACTTGCCAGTATTCTAAATAAGGACTTGAAAATTTAGAAACCTTCCCTTCTTCAGTAATGCACCCAAGCCCCTCACAGTTAAAAATGTGAGCTAGTTATTGCTGTAATTATAACAAAACGCTGAAGGAGGTGATAGTGTGGAGGTTAAGAGTTTTATTTCTATACTCATTTTGAGTAAAAGGCATAAAATAACTTTTTTTAAAAGAAAAATTAACTGAATGGAACAGCCAGGGGATAACTCAAAATTAGGAGGGCACAGTAGGGATCCCACACTACAGAAAAAAAAAAGTTATTTTTCTGAAGTATTATACTGTTACCGCTATGAAAGAAACACCAAGAACATTTTCCGGGACACCAGCTGAGATGGAAGCCAGCCAGCAGATAGAGTTTAATCATTATGGAGAATTTATACTTACACAGAGAAACTCAAAATACAGCTTTTCTTGTCGAGAAAAAGGCTAATCACTCTCGTATGTTTTTATAGCTGCTAATAAAACATTGGTCTTCTCCGACCCTTTTCATTCAAAGTACGTTATGTATTAAGAAAAGAACCCACCAGACAATTCAGACATTATTTCCAACAGTTTCTTCTGCAGGGCTCTGTTGGCCATTCTACACCATTCACCATTTTCGTTACCCTTACACTATGGGTCTTTGAGAAAAGGGGGGCTGTGGACCTACATCTTGCAAAGATTCCAGGCTAAATGATTTAGGAAAGTGAGAACTGCAGTTCTAATTACGTATAGGCTCCAATTAACTTTTTGAGGTGAGAGCCCAAGTCCCTTACAGCTTGACCCATGAATGAGGATTCTGTTTGGGATGAATGGTCTCTGTTCTCATCCCCTCCCACCAGCGTGGAGCTGTAACACATCCAGGCAGAGCCGTGTATTTTTTCAGTGAAGCACAGTCTGCAGATTGTAAAAGGTGGTGAGGGTAGCTGCCTGCCTGCCTGTCAAAAAGAATCAGAGGGCTAAACAGGGAAAGGGGATACCAGCGAGCTTTTGAAATCAGTTTTACGCATCAGTTTAACCATTCTGAAATACAGTAACTCTGTGGAGCTCCCTGCTCCTTCAGAGGTGAACGCTGCCTGTTCCACACAGGAACCCACCCACTGGGTTTTGGAGATGTGTTCAGCTACAGCCAACATTTTCTCTGCCTATGCGGACAGTCTCTTCCAGGGTTTTCAGTGTCAAAGAAAGGCTTCTGAGCTTTAATTATTTCTTTCACCCAAGTGTGTTATATAGGAAAACATGCACAGGAATTTAAGAGCAGTGCACTCAAAAGGCATCCAAAATAATATGCAGAAAATAAGGCAAGAAACAAGGACTTCTCCATGAGGTGTCAAGGCTAGGACAAAAAAGTAAAACAAAATCAGCTTGTTTATTTTGTGCAAAAAGGAGAAGCAGCAACTGCCATCTTACCTTCTTAAATTTAGGGCAGTTGAGGATTATCAC